ATACTCCACCACTTGAGTGTACAGTGGAGAAGAAACCATCCTCAAACTGAGAGAAGGCTCCCAATTCAGAGTTTTGGCCCAGTAACTGTGCAATGTGGAATGTACTCTACTGCTCTTCACCTCATATTTGTTCAGTATACAACAGAAAGATTTCAGTATACAGGACTGTCATAAATCAGCATTTTTTTTAGAACCATGAAATGGTTTCCATTAAAAGTAGTTATTCCATGAGCAGCAAACTAATGAAGCCTGGTTTCTACTTGACTGTATCTACTGTCCCACACCCTGTCAGAGCAACTACAGCTTGTCACTGTCCTCTATAAGCTCGTGCCAAAAAAACTCCAATCCCTCTCACATTTCCACATCTCCCCACAATTTCCTCACCACCTTCTCCTGTCCCTCAGCTAGTGCCTTCCACATTCCCTAACCTCACCAGCCCATAGCACTGTATTCTCCCTCCAATACTTCCTCCTAATTACCCTCAGGACAAGAGGCACTACCTGCTGCAGCTGGCACAAGCACATAAGCACTGATCAACTAGCCATGCCATGCCAACTATGCACATGCCAATTTGCTAGTTAACAAGCAAAAGAGAAGACAACCGTTGAGCTTATCCTGCACCTTCTCCCCCAAGAAGAAAAGGTATGCACTTATTTTGGTTTCCTCCCCTTCACCCAGAGGCTGATCTTTGTGGCACTTTAAAGAGCTCTTGAAGAAACTTTGAGATGTCTATCCCACTGCCAAATTTGGCTGAAATCTACTAAAGTTGTTAAAATGGAATTGATGGAGTGATTACACAAGCTTTCTTTCCTTTGGAAAGTAGGCTAAAAACCCATTAACAGTCTTACTTATGTCATCCCTTCATTCCCATTCTTCATTTAAAAATAACAATTCTATTCTACTGCATTAGCTTATGTAACCCACCCCTGAGCTGAAGTAGTTGAAACTTTCAGTCTGTATTTATTAAGTGTGTGTGCTTCTCTATATGTTTGTCCACTTTAAGGTGCTTGGTATTATGAAAAACAATGGCAAGAAGATCAGTGAAACCAAATAAGCTTCACTGATGGCTATCCCCCAAAGTTTCTGGACTGGTATCACTGCAAGCAAGAACTGAACTGCTTTTTCTCTAGCAAGCTGTCAGCTGTTCTCATGGTTACAGATCTAGGAATTTGGAATGACAGGTCACAGTTATGACAACGAGTAGATTTATTTGGCGTGTTTCTATCTAGTAAATAACATTCTCCTATAAAGAGGACAAGAGGCTGCTGTACATTATCATGGTGTTTATTCTCTGTGAAAACCACTTTTTAAAGTCTCTGTCCCAACAAAGAAGGTGCTAACCAGACTTACGTATTTCTTAAAATCGCTCACTCACAGAATGAAGACAAAAATACATAACTCTTGCACTCTCTCCGCTACTATAAATGGACCACTGGTACTTTCACTGCAAGATTCAACTGTGCATATACACTTCCCAGATGGCGTGAAGCAAGGGTAGAAAAGCACACTTCCCATTTAAATGCAAGGAAAGGCAGGAATGTTAACTGTTGTCATAGGGTAAAATCTATTCTGTCAATTGGCTATTTAAAAAATAACCAATAATTTTTGATTAAGTTAACTGCCAAGATTTGTGAAGCTCCAGCTATGGTGTTATGCAAATTACATTAACACGACCAGGCGCAATTGGTTTTCACAGAACCACAAGTTCAGCTAAGAGGACAGCAGCAGAACAGGCTTCTCTCACACTTACAACTCTTCATTGCCAGAGGGGTCTTCCTCCAGGAGAGCCAGGGCAGTCCAGTTTCCAAAGCCTCTGTTAACTACTGCAAAAATGAAATGCGGAACTTGTGCCGAGGAACTGGAACACCTGCCCACTGAGCTTCTCTTAAAGGTGGGCCTGCCTAGATGCAAACAGTGTTTTGTCCCTGCTGTGCCAGGCTGGAGCTGTACTGTAATCGTCAGTCATCGGTCCCAAGGTATTCGCTCCCCCCAACAGCGGCCCTAAGGCTCCAGGGACATGCCCACATACTGCACTCAATAAGAAAAAAAAAATTTAACGTTGTCGTGATATGCCAATTCATCCAACCCAGAATGCTCTGTGAAACGCTTGACTGAATCACTCGTCCTCTTGGAGAACTCTGTTCGCCTCATGAGCTGCCAAGGAGAACCGTCCTCCAAGGGCACAGTCGAGGACAGCACTCCCAGGCTTACCATCCCAGGATTTAAGGCCTGATAACTCTAAGGTGGCAAGCCCTGTACACAGAAGGGCTCCAGAGTTTCCCATCTCTCACACAGGCCTGCACAGGTAGCTTGAGAGCCCACAATATTTCAAAGACCCAACTGAGTCTTGATTTCCAGGTCAACAGTAGAGAGGCCTCCAGCTCAGAGGCCTGGGAGGGCCTTCTTCAGCCTAGGTCTCAAGTTCCTGGGTCTGCAGATGGAAGCCTTGAAGCCCTGATAACAGGAACATTATCAGAACTTCCACTCCCGCAGTTGAAGACCTGGGCAAGTTTCCAAGGTCCCTGCTAGGCACTGGGGAGTCTGGTAGGCTTGACAGTCCAGCAGTCCTCTGAGCGCTGGTCTGAGCTTAGTCATAAGGTGCCAGACTCCAAATTAATTTCTAACATTTCCAGAAAAGTCTAAGGAAATTCCAATACAAGGGAAATTTTAAAATGTCACAATTTCCCATGAATTGGAGAACACCAAGTTTGGCCCACTTCTGACTTCAGTTTCCTTCAGAAAAGTCTCTATTCTTTGTGTTCCACTCCGAGAACGAGCCTTCATCTATTAAAATACATACACTAAAAACAATAAATATGAACAAAATGTGCCAATTTACCTCTAAACAGAATCTCCAAAATATAAAACCATTCCTTGGGTTATCCTAAAATTATTTTCACATGTACATGCCTGCCTTGAACCCAAAGCCGTCTGTTTTAAAACACACTTACTCAACCTGCTTCACGATTAATTGGTAGAAAGTACACATCCTGTGAAGTTGAACCCACACAGGTTCAAAGCAGAGACTTCCACTTTGGCATGCGATGTGCTCACTGCTTCACTAAAGAAGCAGTGCCTGTAAAGACTGGACAGCTGAGCGTAGGGATTGCTAGTATCACAGCACTGTCCAGTACCGAAAGACGTCAAACAAGCCTGTCCTGGTCACCTCCAGGTATCAGCAAGCCCACAGTGCAGCCACCTGAGATGAAGGGCAGTGTGCCTGACCACAGGCCAAACAGCAGATTCCCGGGATTCGAGCTCTCGGTGAGTAATGCAGCAAGGAAAGGAGGGATGAACTACATGAGTATGCATTAAGCAGATAAAAGATTTGGCCCATTTAATTTATTAGGCAGTGTCATAAAGTTGCTGATACTTAGTTCTGCTGTTTGAGAGTCCTAGGTACCAGTCCCAGCTCTGGCTTGCCAACTTGCCACAGAAGTGATAACGAGATAAAGAATATCACTCAGAACGCAGACTCTTGGCGGGTAGTTTGCCCCATCTTCCTCTACACTGCAGGTATGGAAAAGTAACTCGGCCATTAAAAACATGAAGTATTTCACAAGTTGAGAGAATACTTACTTTACCAATGAGACATTAAAAAAATCTTGCAGCCACACTAAACTTGGGAAACCTGCAAAAACTTTTGCCAAAAACTGAATTCTCATAATACTGTTGAGGGTCTCAATTTCCCACGCACTCAAATGAACAGGACATTCTCTCTGAGTTTAGAATACTTATAATACAACTATTTTTAGTTTGTCTATAAATCACTGTTAAAGGCCTTCTTCTTTACTTTTAAAATTTTCTTCTCGTCATTAAAAGGTGACTAAAGCCTTTGACAATTTTGCAGTGCCTAGAAACTTCATATAATTTAAAAGAAAGTAATACCACTCACATCCACTTACGCTGTATGTTTTAGATACACGCATTATGACATGCATGTATCTAAAGCATACAGTTCTAATGAATGATTTAAGACTCAATATTGCATACAATACCAATGACTTCAGAGATACAGAAGCAAAACCTTAAAGGCAGCATGGCTTCTTGCTGAAGAATAGTTTTTGCTTCAGTCTATATTCATAGACAAGTTAACCAGATGTCACGATGCCATCTCAGAGTTCTCCGTAAAGTGTTATCACTAAATTCTTGTTCCCTATTAACCATGCATACAGCCCACTGCAATAGCGGGGATATTGAGTCAAATGATCCAATAGCCCTTTTCCGCCTTTAATTTCTATTCTTTTGCTAGTTTCACAAAATCCCCACTAGCACAGCATGTATTTTAGAAGAGAAAGCCAAACAGCAATACAGTAGTAATTGTTTCCCCTCGCACACCAGATTCTATCTTGGGATCAAAAGTATAAATTAAGTAGTATTATTATCGGTTTCTTGATACGCAATATAACAGAGTACAAACCTCCCTTTTTTTTTTTTTCAAAACTAGGCCACAAGTTGATGCAAACAAAACCAATATTGCACACAGCACTTTAGCTCCTGTACTATGTGTCCTCTAAAGTAGTAAACCCACAATTACCATGAGAAAAGTCCAGCTGGAGGTATCACCTACAAGTTGCATTACTTCTTGCTTATACATTTTTTCAAAACATATGTGCTGCTTGAAAACAATTCAGTGCCAATGAGTTGGCAATAGAACAATAATTTAAGCTGTGGTCTCAATAAAGGTAGAAGGGGGAATTCACTAAAGCAACATATTTCAGTTACAAAACCCCAAGAAGCACATTATAAGGAGTCAGGCAAATATATATCAAAGATCATGAAAAAGCAACTAACTATATGCCTTTAGAAGTGCACTTCACGGATGAAAGCTGCCAAATTACAGAGGGGATTTACTGAAAAGAATGCGTTACTGCCAGCATGGACAAAAGCATGCATTCTACCCATTCCAAGCTCCTCCCCATCTCCTGTCATGCTCACAGCAAGAAGCAGCTCAAAAATTGACAACCACAGACTCCAGGATTGGAAGAGTCAAAAAATACCTGCTGGTAAATGCCTGGAAAAATTTTATTGTGATCATCTGATAAAGGAGACTGGAAAAAACAAAACACACAAAAAAAAACCACTTATGATCAAAAAATGTCCCCCCATATTCTCGGGACACGAAGCGCAATTTCACAGCAGAAAGGAAACAGCGCACACCTGGCCGGGTTTTAGACGAGCCAACGTGCAGCAGCGTTTTTCAAACAGGCGGAACAAGCCCTATACCGTATCGCACTGCTGCTGGCCCCGAGAGAGGAGTTTCCCGGAGTTCGCGTGGAGTTGGGTCACGGACGCCTCGCTCCAAACGGCAGCGCTTGGTGACCCCGAGGCGGGGGGCGGG